TCCTCTCCAACGACAATGGTTCCGTTTTCTGGTAAGTTTCGACGCTATCAGGCAACATCGCCAGGGCGTCCTGTACCAGGCCATGTGCGGCTCCAGGTCGGCCGTCGGCGGACATTCGAAGAACACGTACGTCGCGTTCTCGACGGCGCGTTACGTTACGCGGATATCCCTCGCGGATGTACGGTTTCGAGGGGTAACGCTCTAATTTCGCGCAATAATTAAATATTATTGTTTATGGTCAAAAATAATAAATGCAAATCCTTAAAAAGCACTATAGTCCAGTCATTTGGTCGTTTTGCTGGTACAGTACTCCTAGAATTCTGAAAATTGGTAATCTTATAGATTTCGAGGTGCTCTTTACGAAAATCAACTTTGCCACCTCAAATTTGAACAGCAAGTTGCCGCCATATTGAAAAAGTGGCGTCAAAAAACAGCTTTTTTAAAATATCTCTTTTCTGGCTGATTCTACGATAAAAGTATCTATGAATTAAACTAGATAAAATTTCCTACAATTCCTTAGAAAACCGTTTTTTTGTAAAATTGATAGTTTGAGAGTACGGCCGCCTCAAAGTCTTTGCTGCTCTCGCCGTAGTATCAAATCTTTCCATTTATGACAGCACTTTGAATTTGACCACATTGCTTCTAATAAATAAATATTTTCAATGTTAAATTAAGCGAATAAGATCTAGAAATAAAATAATTCAAATATTTTTCTGTTTTTTTGCTGATTTTTTAACACTTCAAGCTACTTACTTATAGCTACTTTGCCATTGAAGAGTTAAAAAATCAGCAAAAAAAACGAAAAATATTTGAATTATTTCAAGCTACTTACTTATAGCTACTTTGCCATTGAAGTGTTAAAAAATCAGCAAAAAAAACGAAAAATATTTGAATTATTTTATTTCTAGATCTTATTCGCTTAATTTAACATTGAAAATATTAATTATTAGAGAGAATGTGGTCAAGTTCGAAGTGCTGTCATATATGGAGAGATTTGATACTACGGCGAGAGCAGCAAAGACTTTGAGGCGGCCCTACTCTCAAACTATCAATTTTACAAAAAAACGGTTCTCTAAGGAATTGTAGGAAATTTTATCTAGTTTAATTCATAGATACTTTTATCGTAGAATCAGCCAGAAAGGAGATATTTTAAAAAAGCTGTTTTTTGACGCCACTTTTTCAATATGGCGGCAACTTGCCATTCAAATTTGAGGTGGCAAGGTTGATTTTCGTAAAGAGCACCTCGAAATCTATAAGATTACCAATTTTCAGAATTCCCGGAGTACTGTACCGGCAACAGCCTTTTTTGCACCAAATGACTGGACTACTAGTTATAACAAATGTTATTTGGTTTCATATATTTGAGATGGCGGATACATGTGGCGAGAAGACGCCACTGATGGTAAATAGCGCGATATTTAAATTACAAAGTACATATTACATTACATATAAAATTTTGTTATATAATTTTATCCAGCTTTATTTGTATTTATAAATTATAAGACGCAGTGTATAAATTTCATACTTATTTTATGCCGTTGAAGTAAAACTTCTTTATGAACGCTTGATTTGGGAACTAAGGAGCCGATTCTACCGTAAAATAGACCAATCTTATGGCAAGGCTATGTTATGTAGCAGTTTTCATATAAAGTGGTACTAAAAACTGCCAAAATCCTATGTGGTTGCTATGCAAACAGACGTTACATAAAAAAACTAACCTAGAAAACGCACTAATGTCAAAAAAACGATGTTATCATAACCGCATCTTTGAAATATGGCTTGATAACATATGAGTAAAGTTGTATTTTACGTGTAAAGCATCTGATAGCACAGCAAATACAAATCGTTTTGACAGTATCCACTATCATTTTGTATGAAAACTAGAACGGAACACAGCCTTTCCATAACATTGGTCTACTTTACCCCAGAGTCGGCCCATAAATTGGTGAATGCTTTATTAGAGAACTTGGAAAAGTGTGATTGGGCAAAACAATGAAGATTCCGAGAAAATTAAAAACGAGTGAAGTTGAGAAAAATAGAGATAAGTTATGTAAATTACCGTAAAAACATTGTAAGGATCCTATTGTCCAAGTCTTACAATCAGTATAAGCAATTATTAATATCCAATAACACACTTGCATAAAAATAAATGGGTTTAAAAAAGTTTTACTTCCGCTTTTTTATTATTTTTTTATTATGTATAAACTAGAAGCGCCGAAAAAATTCAAATGCTTAAATCACACAATTTCTTGAGATTAATTGCAGATATGACTTCATCTCACAAATTATTGCTTAATTTTCTACAGGTCCAAAAATAGATGAATGCATAAACATAGTTTAATCTATAAACACTCACCAATAACTTCGAGTTTTGTGGTATGCTCGACGCATCCAAGAACATTGCACGCTTTACATGTATAAAATCCAGAATCCTTTTCCACCAACTCTTCCATAATCAAAACTTGATTATTTTTTCCATATTTAACAACTCCAAAAGACCTCTGAGGTTCCTGACTGTGGGTCTCATTTCCCTTTGTCCAGGTGATATTGGGGGTAGGATTTCCTGAAAAATAGACAAACAAGATAGGATCGACGTTAATGCTGAACCATTTACTAAAATGGTTAATATTTCTTACCGTGGACCGAGCAAACTATTTTGACCATATTCCCAGCAGGTTTCACTTCCAAAAGCACCATCTTGTCTGGTTTTGTAAATTCTGGAGGACTCATTGATGCCGTTGAGGTTGCAATTTCTCGAGTAGGTAGTACCATCTATTTTGAACAAAAAATTAATATTGTTGTAACAGAAATAGATAACAAATTGTGTCAATTATCTTACATTTCTGGATTCAGGGTGTTGCGACAAAGGTGCAGGATTATTTTCCACGTCTGAAAATACAACACAATAAATGTATGATATAATAACAAAACTAATTTATGATTCTATAAAATTATTAGTTGAACGTTAGTGCAGCACCTGCAATTTCTAATTTTGTAGAGTGACTTATGCATCCGGCCGAGTTACAAGATTTACATACATATGTTCCTTCATCTTTTGCATTGAATTTTTCTATAACTAATACTTGGTCGGATTTATTGTGTTTATTTGGACTAGAATTTGTTATGTTTTTATTATCTTTGAACCATGACGTAGTCGGAAAAGGAACTCCTGGAAGGAAAAAACATATGAAAATCGTATCTTTCTTCCAATTGCAATTAAATTGAATTTTTGTGGAAATTACCGTATGAGTTGCATAGTAGTTTGTAAGTAGTGCCTTTAGATACTCGTTTTTTATCGACCATTAACTCTGGTTTGGTGAATTCTGGTGCCAAACTTTTGGGAATATCTTCGATTGCCTGTAAAATTATATTAGTTATCAATATACATTATTAAATAATTTTGGCAATAAAATACTCACATTTTTATCACCCAAAAGTTCCATAAATTGAACTACATCTGGAGAATGTGTATGGGACACATATCCAGAACCATCGTTATAATCTGAAAATCAAAAAATTTCTTTAGGCTTGAACAGAGTTTGGACAAAGTTTGCAACTACTAAAATGTGTATATATATAATGTATGGCCATAAAAAAATGGTTTCCATAATAATACCTTCTAAGACTTCATCGAGGGCCTCCTGGTCCACGGTGGCGGTCGCATTGCGCCATTGACCCGCAGCAGTGCACGCGTACAGGCCAGAGTCTTGAGAAACTACGTGTCTGATGTCGAGCCTTTTCGGAAATATGACGATTTATATATATGACTAAAATAAATCTGTATTATATATACAACCGGGCATTTGAACTCGGTAGTAATGTCACGATGTCCTAACATCACGATCAGTTTAAATTAAGATTGAGCGAACGAAGAATATTTATTTATTCAAATAATATCGTTTACATCAGGTTACATTGAGTGAAAGTAAGAGATTGTCGCGTATGAGATGTCTCGTATGGTATTGTATATAAGATGCTAATAAATGATAACATTCTTATGGTTAAACTTTTCCAGAAAGTAATATTTATTACTCGTACTCGTACCGCTATGAAAAGGCTTATTTTATAAGTGAATAAGATATGTACACAAATTTAAATATTCCTAGTAGTCTGTGTGATAATTGTTATTAGAGTATAAGGTTATCGTAACCTTTATAAATTTGATTAGATAAATGTAGGGAAAGTACACGAACTAAAGATTTAAAATATTTTTTCAACATATGTCATCATAGTACATGTTTAAATTTGAAATTAAAGATAAGCTGTTCATTTCACTAATGCTGCTATATTTTTTTAAGATTGAATTCCAAATATTTTAATTTTTGAATAATTCTTTTAAACAACATGATTTTACATTTTTAATTTATAAATTGAAATATTTCAAATGTGAATATAAAAATAAATTAAAATATTTTAAAAATTATAAATATAAAAAAATCAGGTGTGTCCGATTTAAGTATCTAGACTTTTATAGAACTGCAACTATTTTATTTTGTATCAATAATTCTGGCTCATCCAGGTGCAAGACTACTGCACCTGAGCGGAAATCCTACTCCGATTTAATGTTCAGATTAATTGTGGTTTATACATCATGTTATTTATGAATTTTGAAATATGGTCCAGAGGTTTATTTCAGTATACCTGGATATGTTGATATTTGATACGATTTCATACCACGACCACATCGATACTTGGGAACAGATTTCGGGTCAGAATTTAATGCATTTAAAAATATAATTATAACAATCATAGAAAATGAGGCTTTGTGGATCAGCAACCATTAGTTGATCAGCTTGATATCAAGCAGTAATGATATTCTGATAATTGTCATTTTCGAATTCATACACGCCTTATATTTAACAGTATCTTTGTGACACAGTTTCAGCGTCGACAGCAATCAATTTCAATTAGATTACGAATGCTTAGAATAAAGAATCTATTGTGACAAAGGTATTTCTTTACCTTTAAGAATACGTACCGAATAAGAATACTGTCTATTGTTTAATAGAAATGCAGGATATGCTTTTATAACGGTAACAGTAGTGGTAAATTAACGGCTAAATCGTGGACAAAGTGTTAAAATTTAACGTTACACTAGAATACATCGTAAATTCCAAAGAATGTTGAGCTTTAGGTAATAGATAGTAAATCCGGATTCACGATTTTTTAGTAGACAGTTGGGTAATTTGGGTGTTATCCTATGCACCTCATAAATTGTATTAACAGCTCTCTTTTATAATTACTTAAATATTTTCAAATTTTCTTCGAGCCGAATAAAATAACTACACTTATTTTTTCTACAATTTGTTATTTAAAGTTGTATAATTTAAAACTTACCATTTTCTCTCCAAAGTAAATCTTGAATTGGTTCTAATTTTGTGTCCATTGTGGTACCAAGAATAGTGCCTGCTGGATCCAGTATGAATATCACATTTTAACCGTACATCTTCACCTAAATATAATTCTATTTGTTCGTTTTCGCCACCTGTAAGACAGAAAAAGAAAAATATGTAAGGATTACTTGATTAGAACAATTTTATTATTATGAAAAGTATTAAAATAATCAAGTATTGATAAACATATTTTATTCCAAAAACTAAAATTTAAATATAATAGTTTCCTAGCTACATTTGCTCATTCATCAATTTATGGATTTTCATCTATGTCGAGTAAAATTCTGAATAAAGTTCTTGAAAGATTAAAATAAATTAAGAAGAGTTGAATGACTATATAAGAATACAAAACTAATTCTTATGATTTTGCAATATAGAGTAAGTGCAATGATATTTCAAATAGGGAGCGTCCATTAATCACGTGAGCGATTTTTTAAATTTTTTGGTAACCCCTCGCCCCCTTGGTAATACTTGGTGATATTTAATATTAGCCCCAAAGCCCCACCAAACATAACATGTTTTGTCAGTACCTAAAAAAAAATCGTTAAATTTTGGATTTTTTGGACGAAATTTGGATTTTTTTAATTGGGGTAAGAAATAAATACACGTGATATTTTGCTAGACCCTCTCTTCCCCCCTTAAGGCTCACGTGATTATTGGACGCTCCCTCAAGTAAAATTATATTTTTTAATAAGTTTGCCATTTCTTATAACACAATCCATTATAAGTGTTATCTTTGTGAGCTTCAAGAATAGATAATTTCACAAAATGTTTGCGATCAAATATTGACGTCTTAATCATCGAGCCAATATTGACAGAAGATCATCGTCTGTAGATCTTCTGATTTGACATGGCTCGTGCGCTCGTTATATCTTGACAATGTGCGTTCCATCCATCCAGATGAACCCAAGTCAAGTCAACTATCTATTTATGCTCCGACATCATATATAACGTAGCCATAGCCATAGGTTTATTTATTTATTCGTTTCTTGTTTACTCAGAGAATTCACTTTCAGTATTCAGTTCCTATCATCATCATACACTGCCTTTGTCAAAAGGTATTTGGGAAAAATTGACCGTGTGGATTCCTGAAAATCGCCTCGCCCATCCAGATAAGGAAATCCAAAAAAATATTTTTATGGATAGTTTAAAGCGAATTCTTCTATAAAGGTTTTTTGAAATATTGGTTAATATTAGGTCTCAAAATAATTTATATTTTATGATTGTTGTAATATTTTTATTCCAAGAGCTAGTACAAAAATATATTGGAGTTTATATGTGAGCTTTTGTTATTATTGTGTTAATAATTCTAATTATTTTTAATTTAGTTAAATCAAATAAATTTAAATAAATATTTAACATTATTACAAATTTTAAAATGCATGCATGCATTTTAATAAAATAAATCCATTACTTAATTACAAATTTGTTTATATAAAAAAATGTTTATGCACACAATGCTAATTTTCAATGTGAACCAATAAATTTCCAATTTGAATAGCTATTTTCAAACATCTGAAACATCTAATATTTTCATTGCAACTGCTTATTGATTTAATAAATAAATTGCTTAACCAGAATGCATGTTTAATATCGAGAGTTGTATATTTGCATAGCACCCAAAATAACGATAGCATATACCAAATTGCGTCGAAATATACTTGAAAAACGCGATATTTTTACTATAAATATTTCAAATAATATAGAACGGTGTATGACATAAATTTAAATCGAGAATTCAAGAGCAAATCAAATTTCCTAGAATAAACTGCCAGTTCTCATTTAGAAATTAGGCTACGAACTGAAAGACAGTTTTGGCGCATGGCTTTGTTTTGACTTGTCAATTATTTATAAGTATTTAACGATAGTTATTTAACATCTTGCCATAGATGTCAAAATAAATCAGATCCACATGACCAAGAAAATTTGTTTAAATAATAAAAATGAAAAATGAACCCGAACCCAAATCGGTAATACGTGCTCATGGAGTTGTCAAGCTCTTGCTCAAACCTGAGACTTCTACTATTCACATCAAATTTTATTTATTATTATTATTATTTCTGTATATTTGTTTTTGTATTTCAAAATCGGGCTCCAAATAGATTCATATGCAATTCACTCATAGACAGGCGTAGAAAATGCAAATCGTTGACTCACACATTTGCGTAGTAGTAAAATTATTCAATAACTTATCTTACGCCTACAGTGTAATAAATAATTAATAATGGTTATTATTTATAGTGTATTGTGTTTCTAAAACTTGTCCATTTCATATTAAAATCAAAGGAAATGATAAATAATAATTAATCATGTGTAAAATTCAGGAAAGATAATATCCTAAGATATTGGGGGAAGAGGGATTTGACAAAAAATCACGAATTATCGTGGAGGAGGACAATTAAAAAAAATTTTTTAAAAAATTCAAAAGAATAAAAAATTTCACGGTTTGTTATAGGTACTAAAAATACAAGTGTTGTATAGGAGAGGGAGGGTAAATTTAAATATCACCAGGTATCACCAAGAAGAATGGAGGGTCCAAAAATCCTAAAAAATAGCTCACAGATTTGGCTGCTGATATCAATTTAATTGAACAGATTTGACCGCTGATTATTTTTAGTAGATCTACTTCCAAATTATGTGTGTTTGCATTGAGACAGGAATTTCCATCATCATATGTGAACGCTAAATTTGTTACGTTTCATACAAAACGTTTTGCCATCTAAACAAATGCATTGTGCTCATTTTCTATATTTCTATTAATACCGTTCCCCCCAGGTGCCAATTTACTGAATCGCTATGTTGCCTTTGATGCTTGCTAATGGGTGGCTTATTTTGTTACAAATATCTAACATTCCCGTGTGTCTAACAAAAGACGAGATCAAGATATTATGAACTAGTCGAATTCTCAATTCTGCCGGAACGTTTTGGACGTCGGGCGAAACATTTGTTTTGTTTTATGCAAACAAACCGCGTCCGTGCAGTCACGTCAAGTCAAACGGGACATCTGGAAACGCGCCAAATTCTTTTAGGACGCCGAGACACGCATTAAAAACAATGGAACTTCAAGTTTCTTCTGTTCAATGAATGTTTCACATCATTTTTGGTTTTCATTTTGATATGTGATAATTGGTTACTGTGGTGGCGTAACTTCGAATCTGAATAATCCTCAAATTTTTCATGATTAAATAACTCCATCATACCCATAATGGAATGGGCTCAGATAAAAAAACTGCTCCGATTTGCGAAAACTTTACACAACTTTTTTGCATCTCAGTCAAGAAAAACCGTACACACCAACAAGAAGAACTTGAGCGTAGCTGGTCTGAGATTTTGATGAAATTTGGCATAATGGTAGATTTTATGCCCAATCTGACCGTAGGGGCATATAAAAAGCGGTTAAATTATAAAAATTGAATTGAATCCTAATTTTTGCTTCTACAACTTAAAGTAAAATGCCTAGTTTCTATCTTACATCCATAACTAATTTTCTTCAATGCTATTCCATAGGCAACCGTCAGGAAACTGAGCACTTAATACATCCATAAAATTGTTATTAGTATATTCGATTTCATTTAATTACCCTTCTTGGCGCCATAAAATTAATGATTTACTATGTTTTAGTTTTTCGTGATTCGGTTTCACATATGCAGTTATTTTTATACTTTACAATGAAATGCTACACTTTTGTTCGGCAACTAGTTTGGGGTTTCAAGACTAACAAACGAGAATTATATCCCCTAGGTTATGACTACTCAATAAATCAAAACATTTGGGACCAAATTTAAATGGAGTTTTTATGAATATTCGTTTAATATGTTCTAGGAAAAGTAAAAAAGTTGTATTTTTCGCTTGACGTAGTAAGGGTTTTATTTTAACGAACTCTTGGAATTTGCTTCAGTCAATTATTTATTTATGTTTAGTCCAATTCTATACTAGATTAAGAATACAAAGATACTTGATGTATGTAATACATTTTGAAAAGCTGAATATCAATTATACATTATATTATTTTAAAAATTATATGAATACGTTAAATAATTATGAGGCAATGACCTAAGGAATATTTTAAAAATTGTTTTATGAAAACAGATTTGCTCCTTTGATGTGACGCCTGATATTAACCACATCTGAAGCATAGTGTGTTAAAAAAAGTGAGCAGTTTAAATTTAATTAAAACTCTGAAGTATTTTGGTACCAACTATATAAGCATGTTTGCCTTGTTCAAATCCCTGTGTGAAATTTATTTCTCTATTTTTTAATAAAATTTTACTTAAAACTCAATATTTGTGAAATACACTACTGTTTGTTTATCATTACTGTGATATAAATACTTACTAGGTCTTTGAATTAGGTATTTAAGTGGAACTAACTTCTAACACCAAAGCTTCTATTTTTATGTTTTATAATTTCAGATTAAACCAATATATATTTTTTTTATTAAATATGTATTAACTTACCTAGTAAAACTTCTCTAGTCGAAGGAATAGGTGTGCCACATATTAAGGTCACATTATAGAAAATAAGTAACGATGCTAATCTATAACAACTCTTGAAGAATATTTTGGTAATCAACAAATGGTAATATGGTCCAACCTTCATTGCTCATCAGTCACTTATTCATGGCCAACCTGTAAAATAAATTGATAAATTAATAATAATCTTAAATCTTAAGTTCGTTTTAATTTGAAACAAGGAAGATATTGATCGACTGTCTACGATTTCTGTTAGAATAATATAATTCAGTTCGCATCCAAATGACGTGATATTATGTCAATTTCAACAATGAGAAGGCAAATTCGTTTGATATGGAACGAATAATTCAACGTTTGATAGAACATGGGACATAGACATCCAAGGCACGTCCGTATAGTTAAATTTAGAATCGTTTACAAAATACGAAGCGACTTTGCTTCCTTTATGCTCCTACCTGAGATTATTAACCTGGTGATGGCTGGACGAAGGTAAAACCTAGGTAAAAGACAGATGGTCAAACTCATAGTGGTTGGAAATAAACCTATAAAATATTTATTCAATAGCTTAGAATTTTTAATCACTGGATAAATAATTTATGTAATTTGTTGCAACAGCCACCACCACCACAAAAAGTAGGTATGAGCTATTTACTCATACCTACTTGTCCAAAAAGCTGTTGGAAATTTATATAGTTGGAATTATCATAGCAACTTCTGCATAGCAATTTAATGAAGCAAATAACGTTTTGGCAGCAAAGCATGTTTTCCTAATGATCCGTGGTTCCTTGTGGAACTCATTTGTTACGTTATTTTCTGTTTCATATATAATTTGGCTTCAATATCTGCATGCACGCAAGATATTACTTCGAATTTAAACAAAATTCATCTTAAACATTCCTGCAAAATCATTGGTGTTTTCACTGAAATATTTAACGCATGAAAAAATTTTTTTTTAGAAAGTGACTAACTGATTCCTAAATGCTGGCTGATTAATAAAATTTTCTGGTTAAAAAATATTCATAATGTTAAAATAGAAATAGATATAAATAAAATAGAGCATGTCTGGTAAACATTTACGATAAGTTAATTCGTATTTTAATTATGAGTATTTTAATTAAATTAACCATAAATAATACCAAATCGTGTTAAAATAATAAAAATTTAATAAGACCATTTTAGATGAGCACTGTTTGTAATATTTTCTATAAAAATATATATTTTATAATATATTTTATCTGAGTAATATAATTTTATTGATGTTTCATTTTATTCTTCATTTCAGATCTTTGATTAGATTTTAGATTTTAAGGTTTTTATTATATGAACCTTTATAATAATTATTTGATTACGACATATACCGAAATTCTATATGAAATGAACATATTTCTACTTGATATATCACAAAAATCTTTAAAATCTTAAAATTTGAAAAAAGAAAAATTGTTTATAGATCACAAAATATTCCTTCCAGTTAGGAAAGCTTTTTAGTTGAATAAAACGGAAAAGAATGGAGGCAGTCATTTTTTTATCCACAAAATCAAAATATATGCAACACTTTGATGTCTATAAAACAAGGACTGAACTAGTTGGGTGTATGACATCGTGCCTTAAGGCAAATTGCTGGAACTTCCCGTACCGTAACGAATTGTTCGAGGAATACTGAATGTTTTGAAATAAATTATTATTAATATTGTAACGTTGTCTAATATTTATAAGAATTATATAAATTGAATAGAAAAGTTAAAATTATTTGTTCAAAGTATATTAGAACTTTAGTCAGAATTAAAAATAAAATCTGAATTATTTTCGATATACAAAAAATTTTTTTTTTGAAAAAAAAAGAATTTGCAAAAAAAAAGTTGAAACAAATTTTTTTTCCAAAATCAATTATTTTGTTAAGACAAGCAGAAAGTTCTTTGAATTTCTGAATCTTTTTGCACATTTAGCTCCGTATCTTCGAAATGGCTGAGCCTGCCTTTGCCAAAATCTGATATACACTTCTCCCAATCATTACTAATTGAATGTTTTTTAGTTCACTTAAAAACTCGATTTCTATTTTCTGCACTCTTTGCTCTTTATCTCCGTGACGGCTAGACCTGCCTTTGCCAAAAATTAATCAGCTCATCTCCCTATCAATAGGAATCGAATGTTTTTTGAACCATTTAAATCGGTTGATCCATGCGCCCGAAAACGTGATTGGAAATTTGTATCCATACATATATACACACAAACACACATCCATTTTTTATGAGGTATGCCAAAATGTTCAGAAACCTTCAAAACGTCGAGAAATGTAAAAATTTTCAATTATTCGATTTTCGGCCCATTACAATAACTCACCCTGCGGGAAGTTAATAAGCGTATTTGCGCAAATACTTTCCTTATAAAATAAAGTATCATGAAAATCTCTCCGAGATCCTGATCTCGACCACTTGTAATCTAGAAGCCTTTTAGTTGGAGTAAATGAATTCTAGTAGAGGTACCTATTTGATCCATAAAATAAGATAATATATATATAACCATTCCCTTTGAAGTCTGCAAAACAAGGACCGGATAAAGGTATTTGTGCAAATGCTCTCTTTATAACCTAATGTGCAACAAAAATCCTTCTGAGACTCCTCTGTACAAATCCAACTAATAATAAAACTTTTAACGATTGTGTTTTCAGTTGATGCCCCGTGTGCTTTCCAAGGGAGTCCTGGAATTAGACGCGCATCTGGCGAGATCTCGCGATCTTGCGGTATTTGCAAACAAGTAAACTCTCCGAAGAGAGTTTCACCAGCACCTGCAAAGCATACATACCTCAACGGTTTAGTACCCAATTCCTTCTGTCCGTCCGTCCGTCTGTCTGTCTGTCTGTTCCTTTGCATGTCTCATATATTCGGTATAGGGGGTGATATAAATAGAAGTGTTGCTCGCTAATAAAGCAAAAAGCGAAACGTTTTAAAATAGAGACCGGCGCAAACCAATGTTCCCATATTGTGTTTGCTGTTTGCTATTAAAGTGGCGGTAAAAACGAAACTACATTGTTTTGTGAAAAAAACAACGTGCAACCAGTCTTAACTGCGGCTAGTTAAAAATAAAGCGCGAAGTAGATGTTTGGACAAAGCTGCTGTAGACAAAAGTTAACTGAATCGTATAGCATTATAATTGTTTATGGACCTACGAAGCATTTTAACTAATATTAGATAATTGTCATTTTTAGGTTATATAGACGGCCAACAAACAAATTTGGATTCAAAGTTACCTTTTTAACTTCTCGTAGGGTAAGTTATAGTAATCGCAAAAAAATCAAAAATGAAAATTTTTATATATCTTTACGTTTCAGAGGTTTCTGAATATTTTGGCATACCTTAGACAAAATGGATGTATGTGTGTGTGTGTGTGTGTGTGTGTGTATGTATGTATGTATGTATGTATGTATGTACGTGTGTGTATGTATGTGCGGATACAAATTTTCGTCGACGATTTCGGGAACACGGATCAACCGATTTGAATAATTCAAAAAACATTCAATTCGTATTGATAAGGAGACGTGCTGATTAGTTTTTGGCGAAGGCAGGTCTAGCCGTTCCAAAGATACGGGGCAAAAAGTGCCAAAAACGGTAACTCAGTTTTTAAGAGAACGGAGCGTTCGATTTGAATAATTCAAAAAACATTTCACTTATATTGAAAAGATGAAGAATCGATAAAATTTTCATGATGGTAGGTCTAGCGGTTTCGGAGATATGGAGGAAAAAGTAAAAAAATGAGCCATTTGGCGGTCAAAAATGATCATTAGACATATGCACATCAAATTATCAGATATTTTATAGAGATTTTAACAATCAGTATACATTTTGTTAACATTCCTATGGGTTCCGTACCAATGCTTATGCGTTAGACAGCGACGCGGCGCTTACGCGCTTTATATTTTGTCCCTATGCAGTTAAAGCAGTACGATTGCTTTGAAAAAAAAGTTCAGATCTTCCACAATATGTCAAAATAAAGAAAAAAAATTTTTTTTCAAAAAAAAAAAAAAAATTAAAAAAAAAAATTAAAAAAAAAAATTTTTTTTTTAAAAAAAAGTAATTTTTTGTCCAATTTATAGTTTCTCAAAAATCTTATTTTTTCAAAGTAAATTTTTTTCAAAAATGTTAATCGTTTTTAAAAAAATAATAATTTTTGGTACGGGAAGTTCCAGCAATTTGCCTTAAGGCACGATGCCTTAATTGCCTTAAGACAGAATTCCACAGAATTCTAGTTCGTCTATACATAACTGATTATAAACTTACATACAGCATCTCTTATTAGAAACAAAGTATTTCTTATTAATTTTGAAAATAGTATTTTCTACTAATAATAAAAACCAACATCATATATCATTTTTTGTATCCATGTAGATAGAACCTCAACCTTGTAACAATTTGAGATCTAAAGTGAGATTTTAATAAAACTAAATGTCTGGGCACAATATATTGACGAATGAACATTTAACTACAAAATATGAAACTTTTCAGTGTCATCTCCTTCCTAATTCGAAAGTAACTCTAGAGGCAAAACTAATTTATCAAATTATGATGGAATATTACATTTTTTTGCTATGTTATTTAAATTAATTTTTGAGTCTATGTAGATGATCTGTTGTAATAAATTCAGAGTTCGATGACAAATAAGAAGTTTTGATAGAACTAGGGAAAATTATAAAGTTTTTTCCATAAACCTTCATTTACCTACATAATTACACTTGGAGTTTGATTAATTAATTAAATGCTAATTATGTGCGTTTTAGTATTCTAAAAATTCCAAGTAAGTTTTACAAAGAGATGGGTATTTTATATTGATATATGTATTTACACTTAAATATTTTAGTAAAAAATTGAAAATTTGTCAATTTTTCAGTAAATTTGATTATGAAGAAAAAATTTGAAGTCTAAAATTTTCTGTATGCAAATGCTATATATCACACACTTGATTAGTTTACAATTTGATCAAATCATAATATATTCATATTATTTATTTTTGTCTAATATTGTGAAAAATGCAAATTCAGAAATAGTAATCCTTAAAACTTATTTACAAAAACACCATGCAACAACAACGTTCTTTTCTATATCCATATACCCTTCATTATTTCTTAATACTAAATTCTGGTGCAACAAAAGCACTCCTAAACT